GAAACTAAGTGCATTTAAAAAGACCCCAAGCAGCCAAACTGAGAGAAAAATAGTCAATACAGACACTGTGGATGAATGCCTTGGGCTACTGGCCAGGCTCATAAACACCCCAGTGCCCTGCTCTAACCTAAGAATAATATGTTGGGAGAATTCAGGATAGTCAGTCTCTTGGCTGCTCCACAGCTATGGCGTGGGGGAGAGAGCATGATAAATGACTGGAGTGGGGAAGTGGACCACCCTGGTGAAAGAAATAATTGCAGGCTGCCTACCCTGGCGATGACCCGGTCCTCAGTCATGCACAGCCGTAGTTTTGAAATCATTTTACTCTTGGACCCTTCAGGCAGGGCAAAAGATCCAATGGACTTCCAATTTTGCCACAAAAAAAGTAGTTATATAATCTTACAGTCAGAAGAAACCAGTTTAGTTCAATCTCCATTCCCCATGTATGCGTGCTCCGGAGGGAGGCGAGGTAGTGGGTCTCGGCTAGTTCATGCAGGGCCAGGCCCAGGTTGCATGTTTCATCTTACAGTGCTGATTTGGTCAAGGTCTTTTTCAGTTACATTTTAATATGTGGATTCAATTATCAACCGACTGGGAATAGCTCTTACTTTAAAACACGCATCTCCACATGATCTGAAATTTCAGACTGCTGTGAGGGCTCGAGACACTCAAGCTTAGAGACCCACACACGAAGGTCTCTACGAGCCAACGAAGGGACAAGGACAATGGTTTGTAAAAGCTAATGGGAAAGATAAGGAGCTTAAGTTGGAAAGAGGGACCAAACTTTTTAAAACACAGAAACAACAGCTTATGCGTTTACTGGGCTACTAGGAACAGATGGAGAGCGTGCGCCTCTGCTTCCAGAACCGCTCAACTGGAAATAAGATGGATCTTGGAACAAAGATCAAGGTCTGGATTTAAAACCCACAAGCTGCCAGACACACATTTATTTACTCTGTTCCCCATGAAATACAGGTCTGCATTCACTTCCCATTCATTGAATGCCCACAGGGTGCCAGGGGCTTTTCTATGCATTTGATTCTTTTATTCAAGAGGTAGATGGGGAAACAGAAGCTGGGGAAGATGGGTGCAAGGCCACATGACTAGTAATGGAGTCAAAATGCAAACCCAGTCCCCAAATTGACCCTAGGCCTCTTTCCACCATGTCAGCAAGCCTTTGCAAAAGACACAGAGAGGATCTTCACCACCAGGAAATACTGGGAGGAGACCAAAGGCGCTGGAACATCTTGGGCCACCTGTGCCTGTATTACCACCACCATCTGAGCTGTGCCCTGTGCAATCTGCTGCCCTCCAGGGACCAGCCTTTAAGGCTGACAGGACAGCTCTTGCACCCACAGCCAAAGACAGTGAACACTGGAACTTTCATGCAAACTCTTTATTTGGAACACATGCGTCACTGAGCAGGCCAGTCGTCCTGAAATAGCAAGATTTACATTATGCAGAGAAATGCAAGAGCTCCTTGAAGACATTCAACTGTGCTCTGCTAGTGTCACCAGTCTTCACCCACCTTCAGCTCCGTCACCTCCGGGTCTTTGGTACCGCCTGCTCTGGGGGCGTGACCAGGGCTGGCTCCTGGGCGCTACCGGTTGTTTTCTCCTGGGATCTAACCTACCTGCCTATGTATTAATGGTCCCCAAAGAAATGCTGTACAATTACCAAGTTTCTATGGGGTAACAGGGCCTTGTCTTCACCATATTTTGCAAGTTCTCATTCTATCTTTTTTTTTTTTGCGATGCTTCTGCTTAGCTTTCCTGTCAGGCCTGCGTGTGAGGGCTCGAATTTCAGCTGACTCAGGTAAAGAGTAAGTACCTCACTGAGTTTTATAATCTGTAGGTTACTGCTTTTCTCCCTGGCTGAGGCATACGGTTTTCATTTTTCATTTCTGCCATACGCTTCTCAACCTTTGTCTCCCTCTTGCTCAGTGAGAGGCACACGCCTGGACCCTGCCATGGGGCAGGTTGAGGGGAGGAGAGAGAAAGGCCACCCTCCGCTCAGCGGAAAGCCCCAGCGCCTGGCTTCCACATGGGAAAGGGACTAATAGTGGGGGGAGTACCCCTCCTCACCCCAAATCAAGACATTGGGATGAACGGCCAAACTTGCCTTGGGGTTCAAGTTTCAGTCAGAGGCCACAGCACAGGGACTTCCCTGTCCTCTGCAGTAAATACAACTGTGACAGGGGCTCTCACAAGTCCAAGCCAGGAATCCGCACACACGCTGCCCGCCGCGCCCGGCAGCTTGCTAGACCAAACGGACCTTTCCAAAAGGCTTCAATCTTAATTGTGGTCTTAACTATTCCTTAACATGTAGGCTGGAGACCATTCTTTCTTTAATGTTATTTTATCATCTTCCTTTGGTGGGTCCCACAGTGGACCAACCTACAGTTCAGGAAAGGGACCTCCCACCATGCACTCTTAAAGGTCACTCGGAATGTGTCTCTTAAATCCTGCCCTGAGTGGCAGCTCTCCTCCCACAAACAGATGTACAGAATCTGCAGCAAAAAGCAGAACAAAATGCAAAACCCCCAGGCCTGCTCTAACAGCTTCAGCCTAAGAAACATATCCCCACCCCTCACTCCATCCCTGAAACTTCACCCCCACCCCCGCACAGATGATCTCGCAGAACAATGGCCCAAACACTCAAGTAACTGTCTGCAAGAACTTGGAAAATTAGAAGTGTTTCTCTAAGCTCAGATATTTACAGAGAATCCTGCTGCACTGGTCACTTTCCAAGAGATGCTAACCTGACACTTAATTGTGCATTATTTAATCATTCTAAACAAAATAGCCAAAATGCACAAACATAATCCTTGGGGATCAGATGAAATGGTGGGTTAATCTTATCTTCCATCGGTCCCTTCTGCTCAGAGCTGGGAAGTAGCTGTGTCAACACTGGGTAAAGCCTCATCATTTTTCCTCAGAAGTCCTTACACCAAGTTTCTACCAGAGTAAGTCATTTTACTGTTGCAGAAAATGGTCAGGGTCTAGTTTCAGAACCACTGGAGTTTAAGCCCTTGACCTTCCACTACACCAACCCTCTACCAACAGTCAGATGGACAGGAAAAGTTCTACTTAGAAATTCCACAAGAATCAAAACCTCAACCTATACTTCTAGTATGGACACCAGGATCTCAGAGAGTAGACACATTTTTAAGTGACATTAAAAAAAAAAATTCAAATAGTTCTGAACAACATGGAAAAGGATTCTGAAGCTGCAGTCACAGATGTACATCTAAAAAGTTTTCTGTGATTTGCAGAAACATCAGGTTGAAAATGATAATAAAAATATATGGTTTTCAATCATTCTGAAATTTTCTTCAAAGAGGTAATTAGAGCTACGTTACCAATATTTTCCCCTTTTGCAAATTAAGAAATATAAATACATTTCACATGCAATTCCTCATATAATTTTTAGTCCAAATGCTCAAAATTAAAACTTTTAATTTTGTAAACCCTAAATTATTAAACACCAAGTTAGTCATACATGAGAAAAACAATGACAAACACAAAATATGAAAAGCTTTTTTTTCGGCCACAAATAACAAAGAGGTATGTATGTTTGAGCAATAGAAATAATAAAAGAATAATTATCATTAAGTTCAAAACCTTCGAGAAAGGCATTTCTGATTAGACTATATTATTTACCTTAGATTATGCAAGTTTAAAAGTCAAATTTTCAAAGTTATCTTCCCTCCTCCCCCAAAAGATTTATATTCAAGCCGGAATCCAGAAATGAAGGTAAGTATAAATATTGATAATTTCAACTAAATTCAGAATGGTTTCAGAAACCTATAATACAATATTTTAGAATAAAACAAAAATATTATGTTTTGGTTTGTTTGTGATATACATAAGGTACAACCATTTTTTCTCTTTAGGATCCTTCTCTTTCTCTTGAGGAATAAGCTAAAATTTAATTATTTTCATTTTAAAAAGTCTATATGAAATCAAAAGTTAGAAGTCAGAACAGAGTTCAAATATATGTATGCATGTGTGCATGTGTGTACATACATATCTGCACATGTGTATGCATGCATGTTTGTATGTATACGTACAGATCTGTGTGTGCATGTGTCTGTATGTATATGCACATATCTGCATGTGTGTATATACGTGTGTATGTATCTATATGTATATGTACATATATATCTGCATATGTATACGTATACCTTCTTTCACTTGTATTTAAAGAGGGAAGCAGGTGACCACCCTCACTTAGATCTACCAGATGACTTAAGTGATTCACCAACAATGACAGAGTAATAAACCTCTTACCCACTAAATTTTTCCTGGGAAAAACAATTTAAACTACTCCTAGCAGAGACTTGGCCCCTGTCTTTGTGTTGTAAAAACAAGAGTCTACTATAACTTTTCACAAGAGCCAAAAGTCTGGAAAGAAGTGACTATGAGTAATAGGTAAGAACCAAGGCGGCAGATAAGTGTATTTGAAAAGATTTTTCAGAATTACTTAGATTCTGTGTTGTTTATTACAGTCCAAATACATGAAGTTCTTATGAAATAGAATCATATGGTACAGATAAAAACAGGCCATGAAAGCCCAGTCATAGTTGTTTTAGGGCCAAATTGCAGACCACCCAACAGTTCACATTTTAGGAACTTAAAACATCTAAAAATAGATATGGTGGTTTCTCAAAAGAAAAAAAGAAAAAGAAAAGAGAGAGAGAAGGAAAGAAGGAAGGAAAGAACAAAAAGGGAGGGAGGAGGAAGGGAAGAAGAGCAGTGGGAGGGAAGAGACAAGAACCCACTCAGGAAATGTCAGCTAACAAGAATACCTTCCTTAGAAAGGAAGGAAAAATGCATAAACTTTGTTCAGGTTAATGGAATAGTAAACACAGTAGAATACGTAGGCCTCATAATACTTTATAATAGTATATATATAATGTCTTTAGCACTTTTTAAAAATATGCAAATACAGTAAGGATCATTCTAGATAAAAATACATATTTCTTAAAGGGGCAGGGGCAGGTGGGGAGGGAAATATGGTCTCAGAGAGGACCCCCACAGACATACAAAAATGAAACTACGCTTTTTGGTAAGTCTAGTGGATATGGCAGTAAAAATTGTCATAAGTATGTTGGCTGGTTTTGAGAGGGTTATTTTCACATATAACCTTATAACTATATTTGTAAAAAAAAATTTTTTGTGAAAAGTTTATTTGATTAACCCTGTAAAATGTCTATATTGAGATCTCTTTCTAAGATAAAATAGCAGAATTGTGAACAGGTAAGGGATATATGTTTTATAGCAAACATGAACCCTCTCTGGGTCCCTCTCACACAAAGGGATACAGATTCTTAAATAAAATAAACTTCCTTAAAAATATGCCACCTAACAACTGTTTACATCATAGAAAAATAGCATTTTTGTAAAAAGAAATATAGTTACTTTGTTAAAATGGTCCATTTTAAACCAGCAATTATTTTTCATATAAAGTATTTCTAAACGTCCATACAGGAAATAAAAATAGATAATACTGAGCCCAAAGCAGACAATGGCATGTATGCGGATGATCAAAGTATTTCCTTACTAGATAAATAATACTCTTAGTACATTATAGCAAGTTTTAATCTTTCAGAAACTTAAAAAGATATTGCTTTTAGTCTCTGACAGCAAGTTACTTGTAAGTGACGTTATTTCCAGCAGTAGAAGGCCAAATTGATTAGAAATGGATTCACATTTCCCCTAAACTCAAAGTGCAGAAACACTGGGCAATGGCCTATGTCCCAAACTCCTTAACATGAGCATGGACCACAGGCCCTGGAGGTGGGAAGGGAACTTTATGACATTCACAGTCCTTGCAAAAATAATTCACTCTATTGTCCATATTCAAATTGTCACAGAACCAGATTAAAACCAAACATTTTACCAGCTTGGCTAAATCCATTATGCAGGAGAGTCCATATGACTTTTCTAAATAGAGGCATTAACTCTTCATTTACACAAACAGATGGTTTCAACAGACTACTCCTTTATTTCCACAAAGCGATTCTGTAGGCATGATGTGTCTCCCAGGAGCAGTGGTGATGTCAGAGCGCACCGAGAGCCAGCGCTTTCCGGCTGACACCTGGGCAAGCTGGCGGACAGGCAAAATCATAGAACACTCAACTGGCAAATTAGCCTGCACTTCAGTCGCATCTCATCACACCCTCTCCACTCTGCTGGGGTCATACGAATCTGTAAAAAAAAAAGAAAAAAAGAGAAGAAAAGAAAAGAAAATTAGTAGAATATTCAACTGTTTCCTGTATAATCCTACCATAAATAAACATGTTAGGGAGCAAAATCCATTTCAACAATCTTGATTTCACTGAGAAAGAACTATCACCAAAAAGTTGTTTTAAAGGGACATGTATAATCAGTACATAATCACAGATGGAAAAATGTGAGTTGCTTAATATTTTGATGGTCCCTTCCTGCTAATCATTGTGAAACAGAGTTAATCTTCAATGAAATGCCTGTTAACCAGCAGTGGTGCACTTGGCTAATGCTAAGGATTGTTTAATTATTTTCTGAAAATTCCAACTCTAATGAGAGTTTGCTTTGCAGTGTGCATCTTCATTATCAAATGATGTCACTGGAAAGCTCAAGGACCCTGAAATCCTGACTGCTTGGCCTCCTGCCTTTGAGTGCCACCAGCCAGCAGGCTCGCCCAGGGCTGGACATAAGCCTGTTAACAAAAATCTTCTGGGCCTTTCCACACACAGGTGTGTATGAGTCTGGGCCACCCATGGATCCATTCTATAGCCCACACTGGAAAATCCTAACTGGTCCCCGACGTCCTGGGTTTCCCAGATGGGACACCACACAAAAACAATAGTCCTAAACTGTCATTAGTGCTGCAGGGGGTGATGCTGACTTTGACCACCAGGGAGTCAAGATCTCTGGGTCCAGGCAAACTCGAAGCTCACATGTGGACCTCCTATGGTCAGAAATTCTTGCCACAACAGCTCAAAGGTTTTCTAACTTCTTAGGAGAAAACACATAAGAAATCCGGAAGGATAGTGTGAGTTGCTAGTTATAAAAACTATAATAAACAATCACTTCTCAAGTCATCTGGAAAATTGCATTATGAGCCACCCAGACTCCAACGTCTCCAGCAGCGTATCCTCCTCGCACCTGCTCAACTTAGCCATGACATACTGATGACATGGAGCGACAACTGAGACAGCACTTCGAGCACTCCGAGACTGACCCTATAAACCAGATAGGACAGTCTCTGCATTTGGGAAAAGGAGTTTGGGCTCCTCAAATGTGATTCACTGCACCAAGTGCCCACCAGGCTAAAGCAAGTGAAGTTCACAGAGTCGGTGCCTTCTGATTTCTTACACAGACCACCACCCAGTGGGGCAAACGTGATGTCCTGTGCTCAGCCAGCCTCACCATGAGCTGATTCTGAGAGGGGCTCCCCAGGAGAATGAGGTGGGTGGTCACTGATGGATGAATCTGGAAAGGGCCCAGTGCAATTGGTGAAAGGCTGGAAAGAGGCTGAGCATCTACTAAGCCTCAAATTACACAGACACTGGGCTCTGAGCAGCCCCCTCAGGGCCAGGAACATGGGACACCTCAACAGAATATAGCCGCACCTCAGAGTCCCACTGTTGAAGCCAAGGGCCCAGAGACAGAGAGCAGGAAGAGAATTTTGTAGAACATGAGCTCCTTCCTCAGATCGTGGAGGGTCTAAGTCCATTAAAAATGAGCCATATAACATTATTTTACATTTTCTGGAAGCCATGTTAAAGCAAATAAAAGGTGAAATTAGCCTGGCCGATATGGCTCAGTAGTTGAGCATCAACCCATGCACCAAGAGGTTACCGGTTCGATCCCGGTCAGGGCACATGCCCAGGTTGTGGGCCTGATTCCCAGTGGGGGGCATGCAGGAGGCAGCCAATCGATGTTCTTTCTCATCCACGTTTCTATCTCTCTCTCTCCCTCTCCCTTCCTCTTTCTCTAAAATCAATAAAGAAAACAAAATTTTTTTAAAAGGTGAAATTAATTTTAATGCTATATTTTTTCACCAAATAGATCCAAAATACCATTCCAACAGGTAATCAATATAAAATTGAGAAATTTTAGATTATTTTTATAATATGCTTTGAACTCCAATGTGTATTTTACACGCACGGCTCATCTCAATTCAGATGACCCACATTTCAAGTGCTCAGGAACCATGTGACAGGGGCAACTACACAGGCCAGCCCAGGTCTGGAGGATAGAGAGCTTACCTGAGGATCTGGAATCCTGGCCCCTGTGGGCAGTATTTCAGGTGAAGAAAAGTCATTAAGCCTGCCCTGGTGGATATTTCCTATATGAACACCCCGTTCAAGTTATGCTGGTGTCTAGCTTTCTAATAGCATTATGTGGCATCATGAAACCTTCCCACTATGGCCCTAAAGTAGACAGTCTCTCCTCCCATACTTGCATTAAGAGAGTATATGGAAGTTGAGGGAACCAGCAGATTCTGAACACTATCAGTGTCAGGGTTTATATTCTAAATTAGAACATAATCCATCCAGTGGAAATGGGATTCTGATCCCTGACTTAGTTTTGAGCTGCTAATTTCTTTTTTTTTTTTAATCCTCACCCGAGGATATTTTTCCATTTCTTGTACAGACAGAGTGGGAGGGAGAGAGAGAGAGAAACATTGACGCGAAGGGACACATCGAGTGGCTGCCACCCGCACGACCAACCAGGGCCGGGGACAAACTGCAACCGAAGTACGTGCCCTTAGCGGGAACCGAACCCGGGTCTCTCCGGACCGCAGGCCGACGCTCTAACCGCTGAGCCAAACCGGCCAGGGCTTGAGCTGCTAATTTCTTAGCCACAGCCCAAAAACTCACTGAAAAGATGTTAACTGAAATGCCAATCTTTAAACTGAAAAAGACACTTTATGGTGATAGGTACTACAATATGACTCAGATAATAAAATTCTGGAAGGGCTGTGGGGAGGAGAAGTTACATATAAACACGGTATATTCTTGTTTTGAAATTCCACAACAAACTCTAAATTTGAATGGGCTGTGAATTCAGGAACAGTGAAGTGGTCCTGACACATTGGGGTTATGGAGGCAGCAGTGGGGTGGGGAGAGAGATGAGGATTCTTGTGTTTAAAATAAAACTTAGCAAGCCCTGGCAGAGTGGCTCAATTGGTTAAGTGTCATCTCATGCACCAAGAGGTCATCAGTTCCATTCCCAGTCAGGGCACATGCCTAGGTCGGGGGCTTGGTCCCAGTTGGGGCATGTACTGGAGGCAGCTGATTGATGTTTCTCTCTCTTTCTTTTCCCCCGCCCTTCCCCTCTCTCTACAATCAGTCAATGAGCAAGTCCTCCAGTGAGGATTAAAACAATAAAATAAAACTTAACAAAAGAAAAACAAAGTCCACGTTTATCAGCAACAACACAACAAGGCTTTATTCTAATTTGTAAAGCAACAATGAAGAGAAAATTTAACATTTGTAAAAGTTTTACTACCTCAGTCACATGACCTTCCACAGAACTAATGTGAATACTGAGGTCTGATGGCTGTCACATGAAATATCAAGGCTGACAGAGTTTCACCTGGGCCCCTGCATGTGTAAAAATTCTTCCCTCATGGTGTCCTGCTATGCAATTACTTAAGAATGCTTGAGGCAGCTGTCTGCCATCAAAAGTAGCTCTCTGCATTCAGATTTTTAGTCCTTTTGTGTATCAACAAATGCAACAAAAGAAGAAAAAATATTTCTACTTGTAACTATGGTTTAAAAAAAATAAGGTCATGGAGGAAGTGTTTTTAATACCTGACTAAAATTAAAATTGGCATTATCTAGGTATTTTAGATACCTATCCCACCCCATTCACATGCCAATGGTCAAGCTAAAAATTGAGAGAGCGCTTTATTGAACTAGAAATTTTATGTTATGAAATACTGAAATACATGACCTTGGACAGGGACACAGAAATATTTACAAACTGGTGTTTTATTTTAATAGGATTTGTCTTATTTTAAAGTCTTTATAATTCTCAGGATGAAGTAGGACTGATAAAATCATCCTAATTTTATAGATAAAAGCCTACTTTAAAGGCCTACAATGTCTGTTTAACTAGCACTTAAAAGTGAGTGGGCATATTCTGGGGGGAAGTGAGAGAGGAGGAATCATGCTGAAGCCTAATAAATCCCCACAGCTCAAAAACTGGACCATGTAACATTTTTTTCCACCCAAATGGTAAAGGTTCCACATTCATAGTATTGTCGTCCTCAGCAAAGACCAAATTTGTCAAATGAAATGATCCAAGAGGGTCCTGACAAATCAGTTATTTCAATAATCTACTATTTTGCATAAGGAACAGAGCAACGTTACTTAACACTCCTAAGACTCATACTCCATTTCTGGGAAAATTTAAAAAGTGGCAAGTAGATTTCTTTGTTTAACAAAACATTTTGGATTCTTAATCTAGCTGAAACAAGTGATGTTTTCCATCTACTTTTAAATTCTTGGGTTTTGGAGGAAAAAAATGGCAGCGGAGTGAATGGAGCTACACAGACCATCTCCCAGGACCAAATTGGAATTACAACGAAAATAAAGACAAATCGTCAGGAAGGGTCAACGGAAAGGCAGCTTGGAGGACCACATAACCAGGGACACTGACTCAATCCTGGTAGGCTTGCGAGGACGCGAGAGGGGGCCGGGAGCCCACGGTCCAGAGCGGCCTGGGCTGGGACTAGGGACTCGGCTGGGACAAGGGGACTCGGCTGGAAGCTGCGCTCTTGGCTGGGTCCTGTGGCCTCGGCTGGGTGCCACGCCCTCTGCTGGGTCCAGCGACCATGGCACAATCCTGTGGCCTCGGCTGGGTGCTACGCCCTCGACTGGTGCCGCAGCCTTGGGTTAAAGTCCCAGACGGCTCCACAGCGCAGAGCCCGGACAGAGGCTAAATTGGCAGCAGCCACTCACCTTGGGCTCCGGCAGAGGGGAGGCAGACTGGACTGGAACTGTGAGGGGACACTCGGGATTTGGAGGGTGCTCAGAGCTTTTGCTGAGTGCAGCAACACAGGACTGTGGTCATCTTACTCCTTCCCAGGGCCCTGGGGAGAAGTGGAAGCCCCTCCCTCGAAGATTCAACCCCACCTGGTGGCCATTGAAATGCTAATTGGGGCCCATTACCAACCAGCATCTGCCCCACCCTCGGGAAATCCTTTTACACTG